ACACACACCTACACACTTACTAAGCGGAGAGGGGAAGTTTGCCAACAGGTGCACTTGCTATGTCATTTGGTTTCAAGCAAACCATGGAGTGGAGGTCAAAGCAGCTCGGGGGAACCAAATCAGGGCAAGCAGATTTCTTCATGTATCAGCAATAAGATAACCCAAACCTCAGGAAGACTGTAGCCACTCTGAAGAGCATATTGGGAAAAAGGATTAATTGTCTACAGTGCAATTAAACACCCATGACTGGCCTAGGTCAGCTGATTCATGCTCATGGGGCTTGGGCTGCGCGGCTATAAAATTGCAGTGTAGACATTTGGGCGTGGGGTGAAGCACAGGCTCTGGGACCCCAGGAGGAGGAAGTGTCCCACAGTCCATGCTCCAGCCCAAGCCTGAAAGTCTATACTGCAATTTTATAGACCTGCAGCCTGAGTTAGATGACACGGCCCATCCCTGGGTGTTTCATTGCTGTGCAGACATACTCTGAAAGTACTATGCAAAAGGAGACTCCTGGAATGTTAGATTGGAGAACCAAATCTTAAATAATCTTATCTGTTTAGAACTCATACCTGGAAATTAAGAGTCTTTCAACTTGGACACAAACCTTCTGCACAAAAATTTCTCATGGTAAATCTACACGTTCCTCTCAGACAGACAGAGACAGACTAACAAGATTAAGGGCAATTCTCTGTCATATTTAGAACAAAATGAAAATCCCCATAATACTCACCTTTTCTCACTTTAATTATTGAAGATTTTCTTTAGAAAACCCAATTATCAGGGCAGTATGAACTGAAACTCTGTACTTAAATGGGTCCCTACAATGCTGGGAATTCTGGAATCACCAGCAAGGATGGTTCAGTGAGCCAATTAATAAATCCTAGCAGGTAGGAATGATTCTAGTCGGAAGAGTTCATGTTTCTAAACAAGTATTTAGACAGCTTCGTATCAAATGCTAAAAGTACCCAATACTACTCATGTCTGTGTTTCCACGGAATGTTTGATAGTCTAACACTCTGCTTGGGTGGGTTCCTTGCCTCTAGCTTTCTTTGAAAATAATGTTTTTATTTTCTTTTGCCCTTTCTTGGTCTAAATAGTTTCATATGCTGCTCAATAGTGTTCAATGAAAAAAGTAACATTGTACCTTGCTGTGTATACATTGTATGTAAATAGTAAAGTTTGTGCCTGTGAGCAGAGAATTTTAGATAACTGTATACTATTATATGGAACAATATAGAGACTGGTGCTATGAACTATTTGACCCAATGGGCAAGTTTCTTCCTCAAAGCAGTTAGTCCTTAATAGATTAGAAGGCACTGAGATGATAGTGCAAAAGTTCTGTAGAATCATAGTGGATGTTCATATTAATAAATCATGATGTCCAGGCTTGTCATTGTCCTCTTTGTTTCACTTAAAACAGCCCCTACTTTCAGTGTGAATAAAAGGTCAACTCCAAATAGTAGCAATGCATTTGACCAGTATTTTTTTTTTTAAATAAACTTTTGTTGAGTTTATGCCAATTGGTTGGTGTATGTGCGCACACACACACACACACACACACACACACACACACACACACACACACACACACACACTA